TTTGCAGTTGCTCATTTTCATAAATCGAAATTTTCAATAATGTTTACTAAACAAAGTTCATTGTACATGTACATCAAAAACAAGATAAGAAAAAATACACCAAAAACAAGAGGAAAACAGAAAAAATGAGAATTTACTTGATGTCATAAACCCACCTCATTGACCATTATGACCATGCCTTGGAAAATCTATATTTGGATACACTGACGCTGTTCCAAATCTTATATTAACCTAGCTCTAATGATTTTTGCCGCGGTGAATATAACGTTTTATCAAAAAGAGTTTCCAATGCTTTTAACCAATGAGAAAAAAGAACATTTATAGTCATATAATAAAGAACTTAATTGTCCTAAATAAACGGAAATGGAAAAAAACCAGTAGGTTATTGTAACAAAAAGAAGTTATCAGTCTTTCACCATGTTCACAGGAAATATATAAACTGTAAACATTATAATTTTACAGAAGGAAATCTTAAAACTAAGATTTAATAAAAGTTGTCATGGTTATTGGAATTTTTCATATGAAATGCAACTGAATGATTATCATGTTTATTCCTTTTAATTAATACATAATTTATCTGTATGTAATATATACAACATGTACATGTATCTTTTCATTGTTAATTTGTTAATTTGTTATTCTTGTTCAACAAAAGTCAATGACCATTTTGAACAAATTCAATCAAAACAAATAGTAGATTTATAAAAAACAAGTCTAACGCCAATTAAATGCTTCCCTGAGCACAGCCTGATACCACCCCAGAGTCAAACCCTGAACAGTTTGGTCACATTTGGACACTATATTCAAGCTGATATTAAACAGTTTATAAACACCAATCCGTTAATCATTTATCTGTGTTAATGCATCATATATTGCCTCTTTGCTTTTAGAGACCATGTTTGAAAAATACAATAAGGACCCTTATGAAACTGAATTGTTTGCCGCAAACTTGCAGCAGACTTGCCGCAAGCTTGCGGCAAACAAAAAGTTTGCAGGAACACAGAAAATTGTGTTTGCAGATGTTTGCCGCTAGCTGCAAACTTCCGGCAAACATTGCAGCTTTTTGCTGCAAGCTTGCGGCAAGTTTGCAGAAACATCAATGTTTGCCGTAAGATTGCCAGAAAGTTAGGATAATTAAGAATGTTTGCCGCAAGATTGCAGAAAACTTTGACCATTTTATATGTTTGCCACAAAATTGCAGAAAACTTTGACCATTCTATATGTTTGCCAGAACATTGCAAGAACTACACAATATTAACTGGGCATGCCTAGTTGGCACTTCCTGGAAGCTAACAATTTGAAATTGTGACTAGGTCATGTTGATTGTGTTTGGAAAATGCATTTCACATATAAGAGATCAAGGAGGCATTTTGGTTCAATGATAAAGGATTTATATCAATATGTAATTTTGTAAGTACAAATAATTCATAGAACAGCATGTTTTGATAAAATAATTAATGTCACATCATACATAATTAAGTAAGCAACTATATATATATGTGTGTGTTTGAAAATCTTTAGCTACATGTATTAAAAGTTTGAATTTTGTAATTGATGTACTGTACCATGTTTATTAAAATTAAGTTCAATTTTGTAATGCAATTATTACCTAGCTTTATACCCGATACACACTTAAGATTTATTCTTTTTTCATTTCTTAATTACAGGTATATGATGTCATTTGAGAATGACCCCTGTCCCCTTTGTTTGCAAGAATTCTTTCAATGACTGTTTGTATACAGGCAGGAATTCTTTTAAAAATGTTGCTGTGTAATTTGAAAGAGCTAAATTGAATGTGTCTACACACATGACATTAATATATGTGTAGTTCCTGCAAGTTTGCCGCAAGTTTGCAACAAACATTTGCCGCAAGCTTGCAGCAAACAATTGCCGCAAGCTTGCAGCAAACAATTGCCGCAAGCTTGCCGCAAATCTAATTTGCATAATTTTGTTTGCAGCAAGCTTGCCGCAACCTTCATTTGCATGGTAAAATGGTTGCGGCAAGTTTGCAGCAAATGTTTGCCGCAAGCTTGCGGCAATGTTTGCTGCAAACTTGCGGCAAATGTTTGCCACAGGGCTTATTTTTCGGTAAGGGGAAGGCGCAATTTGATTTTGATTTGGGAGGATGAAAAGACGTTGATCTGAGATTAAAAGTTTCGTTTGAACTTCTTGCTTTGTTTACATATTCATTTGCATCATACGTTTTTCAAGGGTAAGATTTGTTTTCATTTTTTCCAGGCCAGAATAAATCCTTTCTGAAATCTTCCATGCCTCCCAAGAAAAGTAAGATTTTGCTAAATATTCATGATATTTATAAAAATGTCTTGATTTTAAAAGCAGGTCAATACCTATCAAATACAAATTATCTTTCAAAAATAGAAAATCACTTTCTCAAATTTATTTATGCACCCGCCTAAACAGAGGGGGCATTAAGTTCTACACTTGACCATCTCAACGTCCTGAAATTGGTCTCCGTTCTAATTGCACATTTTTTTGTTTCCGTTCCCTAACTCAAGTTTGCATTAACCAAATATTATGAAACTTATGAACAATGCTTGGTATATAAAACTCAGATTAAGTACGAATTTCGGTAGCGTAACTTTTAATGTTTTTATACGACCGCAAAAAATTTTTGCGGTCGTATATTGGTATGACGTTGGCGTCGTCGTCGTCGTCGTCGTCCGAAGACACATTGGTTTTCGCACTCTAACTTTAGTTTAAGTGAATGGATCTCTTTGAAATTTTACCATAAGGTTCAATACCACAAAAGGAAGGTGGGGATTGATTTTGGGGGTTATGGTACAGTTAAGGAATTAGGGGCCAAAAATAAGCATTTTCTAGTTTCCAGACAATAACTGTGGAACGGTGTATGGATCTCTCTGAAATTATACTACAAGTTTCCATACCACAAAGGGATGGTTAGGATTTGCTTTGGGGGGGTTATGGCTCAAACCGTTTAGGAATTAGGGGCAAAAAAGGGGGAAAAACAAGGTTGTCCTGGTTAATGGACAAATACTTTAGTACAAAATATAATTTAAAGCAGTGTAAGGGAGATAAATCAAATACATCATTGAAATTATCTCCCTTACACTGCTTTTAAATTATGTATAAAGTAATGGTTAATGAACAATTAAGATAATTTAAAACAGTGTAAGGGAGGTAATCCAAATACAACGTTTTGGTTACTTCCCTTACACTGCTTTTAAATTATGTTTTAAGAAATGCATATTTATAAAGGAAGACCAGTAAAAATATCTGCAAATGTTGCATCTTTTTTTTTTTACAAAAAAATCCATATGAAAGATTTGACACTATATTTTAAATTCTATTATAAAATAGATTAAGTTGGCACTATGGTAAATTTAAATGGGTAATTATGGTTGCAAACTCCATTGGAAATTTGATTGAGATTATGACCATATCTTGAGGGAAAGAATTTTTTGGGGGAAAAAAGGGGGGGGGGGGGGGTCATTTTTTTCTCATTTCAGATTTCAGAAATAAAAAAGAATTATTCTTCAAATATTTTTTTTTTTCAAATTTCAAATATTGAAAAATTTCAAGAAGTAATCTTTAATTGCACAGTATGGCACATTAGATTTGTAAAATCTTTGACCACATTTATTTATTTGTTATGCCGAATCTAACCGTGTATTTAGATTTTTAATTTTGAATCCAGTTTTCAAATTGGACATTAAGGTCTCAAAGGGTCCAAAATTAAACTTTGTTTGATTTTAACAAAAATTGAATATATGGGGTTCTTTGATATGCTGAATCTAAACATGTATTTAGATTTTAGATTTTTGGCCCAGTTTTCAAGTTGGTCCAAATTGGGGTCCAAAATTAAACTTTGTTTGATTTCAACAAAAATTGAATATATGGGGTTCTTTGATATGCTGAATCTAACCATGTATTTAGATTTTTTATTTGTGGACCCCGCTATCAAATTGGTTCATATTGAGGTCAAAAGGGTCCAAAATTAAACTTCATTTGATTTCATCAAAAATTGAATTATTGGAGTTCTTTGATATGCCAAATCTAACCTTGTATTTAGATTTTTAATTTTGGGTCCTGTTTTTTAAATTTGTCTACATTAAGGTCCAAAGGGTCCAAAATTAAACTTAGTTTGATTTTAACAAAAATTGAATTCTTGGGGTTCTTTGATATGCTGAATCTAAACATGTGTTTAGATTTTTTATTATGGGCCCAGTTTTCAAGTTGGTCCAAGTTGGGGTCCAAAATTAAACTTTGTTTGATTTCAACAAAAATTGAATATATGGGGTTTTTTGATATGCTGAATCTAACCATGTATTTTGATTTTGGACATTGGACCATAATAGGTAAATTAAAAAAATTCAAGTTCTTAGGCCACATTCTTTCTGTGTCAGAAACCTATGCTGTGTCAAATATTTAATCACAATCCAAATTCAGAGCTGTATCAAGCTTGAATGTTGTGTCCATACTTGCCCCAACTGTTCAGGGTTCGACCTCTGCGGTCGTATCAAGCTGCGCCCAGCGAAGCATTTTATTGAGTTATGTCCCTATGTAACGTCATATGCAAGCAGGGGCATCCTCTGTGGGGATGGACAAATTCCTTTTTTACTTTTGATAAAGTTCCAGTTGATTCCCTTTTTTCCACTTTTAGAAATAAGTTTTACCAATAAGTGAAGACACCTGTTATATAAACATACTGCCATTGGATGAAGGTGTTTGGATAGATTAACACATGAATTATCACAATTTTTCACCAAGGGCCTTATGAATGCCTTTTTATTCACGTGTGCACTATGTTGTAAGAATGACAATTGTGAAAAGATAAAGCGGTCAATTAAGATAGTTGACTAATGACTTTAATTGGGCGTATATCCTAACAATGCAATAACCGTTTTAATAATTCATAAGTTATTTAAATTGAAAAACATCACTAAAATTTAAGATCTGCAAGAATAAATTGAATTTATAAAATGTTAAATGAAAAACAAAGAGTTTCAATCTGATTATAGGATAGTGTTGATTTGGAAGAGGAATGCTTAAAGAAGACTTGTGAAGAAGGATCACCACTTCCAGACCTCATTTCCTTAGATGAAGGTGACGGAGGTCCTTTACCATGGTTACAAGAACAGATAGACAACGGTGAACGTGAAAACAATAAAATATCTGACAGAAAGCTTAGAAATAAGAGCCAATCAGATAAAGGAAAGATAGAAACAGGTGAGACCAATCAAGAAAAGTTGTGGCATTGTAAAAAATGTGAATTTTCAACAGGTGATAAGAAGGAACAAGAGAGACACAGAAAGCATCACTCTTACCTCAAAAGAAAGCTCAGGATGTCTAAACTATGTAAATCTCAAAAATATGTCTGTGATGAATGTGGAAATGAATATAAATCAGAAGTCGGTTTGCAAAGCCATAAAAAATTCATGCATCCGGACAAGCCATTATTGTTATGTATGCTTAGAGGGTGTAAAGCACGTTTTGTGGAAGAATCTGCCTTACAAAAACATTTGTTATGGCACAAATCACATGGTGTCCTGAAATGTAGAAAATGTGGACAGGTATTTGTACTTAAGGGTGCACTGAAAAGACACGAGGGTTATTGTTTCAAAAGATTAATGTTTCGATGTGACATTTGTAATAAAGTGTATAAAGCCCAAAAAAATCTTTCAGAACATATGAGTAAAATGCATTGTGAGGGGGGTAAAGGATTAAATGACTGGGAATCTTCAAAGTTTACCAGAAATATCAACAGTATGACTTCTGCAGTTGATCAGAATAAAGGAGCAAGTTTAACAGTCGAGAAAACAAGTTTAGAAACTACAATGCAAGAGTTTAATGCTGAGGAATTTGTAGAAGGGATGAATTCAATTTTACTCGGTCACCAAAATGAAAAAAAATCAATACAGACACAAGACGTTTACTGTTGTATACATTGTGAATTCTCAACAGAAGATAAGACACAGTATACTAAGCATAGAAAACACCATGCTTACCTTATTCGCAAGCAAAAGATTACAGAACTCCAATCATATACTTGTGATAAGTGTGAAACAGAGCATAAAACTACACTTGACTTGAAAGTTCATATGGAAAAGGTACATTCTATGGTATATGAATGCCTAGAGAAAGGTTGTTTTAAATATTTTTCGGATCAACATAAGTTAAATGAACATTTTTTAGAGCATGAAACACAGATACATATTTGTAGATATTGTGGGGCGTCCTTCAGGACCATACAAGGACTGAGTAGACATGAGCTCACTACTCATTCGGGTCAATTTTATAAATGCAAGGTTAAATCCTGCACTAGGGTATTTAAGTATAAACAGCAATTAGAAAAACACATATTAAATCATAAAAATAGAGGTTTTTTGGAATGCAAGAAATGTAACAAGAAATTTATTATTAAAAGTGTACTAAAACGTCATGAAGACTCATGCATAAGGAATATGACAACAAAGGAACCAACGCAGTGTCACTTATGCGGAAAACAGTTTGGGAGCAAATCAGGAGTGTTAAAGCACATGAGAAAACATAATGATGGAATGTTTGATTGCTTTTGTGGAAAAACATTTGACAGTGTTAAAAATCTTAATCAGCATAAAAAATGTCATAATGATCCTATGCTTAAACCATTTTGTGAAAAAGAGATGGCAGAGGAGAGTGAAGATAGTACCGATTCAGATCCAGATGGTATGGAAGATAGCACATCTTAAAGTTCAAGTGCAATGTATAATTCGAAAAGTACTAAAGAAAAGCAAACTGTATTTGAATAATGGAAATGAAAAGTTTGTTATAGAAAATGTTAATATCGCAGATTGTCACAATTTAACATCGATTGTGATGGTGGAATGGCAACAGAAAATGATGAAAAGAAATGAGTAAGATGTGAGAAAGGAATATGACATGGCGTTTGGTGATAAAGGTGATGAGTTGATATTGAAGAATAAACAAAATGATGGTGACATGCTTAACATTGGCATTGAATGAATTTATCTCTGATGTTGTAAAATGAAGATATTAGTGACTATATGTAGTGACATTGATTAGTTTGACGAATATATAGACACACAAAACAAACAAAGAATAAAAAAAGTGTGAATTTTAGTTAAAATGTATTAACATTTTTTCTAGAGCATGCGACTTAAATATGGCGCAGAAAGCTCAACATAGGGAGAGTGATCTGGCGGCGGCAGCCACGTCGGTGTTAACAAACCTCTTCAAAGCTTAATAATTTCCGAAGGTAGAAAACCTGGATCTTTCATATATGAATATAGATGCCTTATGTTATAAAGTTTCCTTTGGTCATATGATCATTGTTCTTGATCTCATTTTCATGGTTCAGTGACTACTTATAAAAAAAGTATTCTTTATTTCTCTCTTATTATGAGTAATATAACTATTTGGTATGTGAGTACCTTGCAAAGTCCTCATTCTCGTCAGACAGTTTTCACCTGACCTCGACATCTATATATCAGATAGTATAGGCGATAGGTCTACTATATTTGATGTAAGGGATTATTGTAGGTTGAACCTGGTATCATCTTCATTTTCATGGTTCAGTAGTTAAAGTTTAGTTTTTATGTTTTGTTCTGTTTTTCTAATACTGTATGCAATAGGTCAAATATATTAAGTGTATGAAAATACACGATGTACATGTCAGTCTGGCATGTTATATTTTATCGTGACCTTATGTTTACAGTTCTTAGTATTTGGTCTGTTTTTCTAACACTATAAGCATTTTAGGACATCTATATTTGGTGTATAAAATGACTGTAAGGTTTATATTGTTCGGCTATTAACATCTGACCATGACCTCATTTTTTAGCTCACCGGGGACGGAAGGGCCCCATGTGAGCTTATGCCATCACTTGGCGTCCGTCGTTGTCCTTCGTCTGTCGTCGTCGTCTGTCGTCGTAAACTATTTGAAAAATCTTCTCCTCTGAAACTACTGGGCCAAATACCTTCAAACTAAATGTTCCTTAGGGTATCTAGTTTATAAATTGTATCCGAAGTTTTGATCCATCGACAAACATGGCCGCCATGGCTAAAAATAGAACATAAGGGTCAAATGCAGTTTTTGGCTTATATCTCAAAAACTAAATCTTTTAGAGCAAATGTGACATGTGGTAAAATTGTTTAATTGGTCAAGATCTATCGGCCCAGAAATTATCAGACGAATCGAGCAACCCATTGTTGGGTTGCTGCCACCGAATTGGTAGTTTTAGCAAAATTTTGCAGTTTTTTGTTATTATTTTGAATATTATTATAGATATATATATAAACTGTAAGCAGCAATAATGTTCAGCAAAGTAAGATCTACAAAAAAGTTAATCTGACCAAAATTGTCAATTGACCCCTTAAGAAGTTATTGCCCTTTAAAGACAATTTTACACAATTTGTTCATCAAGTTTGCTAACATTTAAAAATCTTCTCCTCTGAAATACAGGTGAGCGATTCAGGCTCTTGAGAGCCTCTTGTTATGGTTTATTGGTCAATCTTAAGTTTTCCTGGTTGACTTTGTTTCTAATAAACTAACTGCAATAGGTTTACTATATTTAAAACATGTAATGTTTGTTGGGTGTACATGTCCGAGCGTTAAGGTTCTTCTGACCTTGGCCTCATTTGTATGGATCATTGATCAATGTTAAGGTTGAACTTTCCTGGTTGAGTTTGTTCTTAGATGTGCAATAGGTCGACTACATTTAAAGCATATTTGATGTATCGAATGATTTTAAGGTGTACTTGTATTTGTCAGTCAGAGCTCAGACATAAATAAGTCTAAATCTGTTTTTGACTCATGGAGGTCTAAATTTGTAGATTCAAAGATTTGTCTCCCTTTAATTTAAGACAATTTACGCCTTCAATAATTCGATAAGTGTTGAGCAAAAAATATTTGACCTAAATTAAAAAGTTGCAAATATTGACTCCTACAAGTCGATAAGTTAACAAAATTGGTCAACTTCAAAACCCAAGGATATTTATATACAGGTCCTGCATCTATATAAAATTATAACAATATTGAAAGACAATGCTTTCTCTTTTAAAGAAAATTATGCATGAGAGACTAAAAAAATGGAAATAATAATCATTTACTTTACAAAGCAACCATCTATAGCCACACTAAAGGAGGAAAATAATCTTATGTTATGTAAAAAATGTTCAATTAGATAATTAGATATAGATAGCTCATGTCCTTGTGAACTTTCAGACAGGTTTATAATGGAATAGGTGGTGCACTTTGGGAAGCAAATAAAATCAAGTCTTTTCATAAACATAAAAAGACTTAAACAAGTCTGTCATTTTCTGACTTAAATAAGTCTGAAAATTAAAACACATTTGTATGCATTTTTTTACTCCTATGAGTCAAAAACAAAAGAAACATCTTGTTTATGTCTGAGCTTTGACTGTGTAGTTTATCTGACCTTGACATCATTTTTTGTGACCAATTAAAGTTTAAATGACAGTTGAAGTAAAGCTTCATATTTAGGACTGTCAATTTAATATCAATGGTTCGTAATGACGGCGAAACATTTCAGCGTGTGCACTATTGTATTTTTATATGACCGCAAAAAAATTTGCGGTTGTATATTGGTATTACGACGTGTCCGCTTGGTCAGAAGACTTTAGTAAATGTAAATAGAAATCTATGAAATTCAAATACAAGGTTTATAACCACAAAAGGAAGGTTTGGATTGATTTTGGGGATTATGGTCCTAATAGTTTCGGAATTAGGGGCCAAAAGGGTTTTCTGGTTAATGGACAATTAGAAAAAAAGTACAAATTATATGTTTGGATTATCTCCCTTACACTTCTTTTAAATTGTGTATAAAGAAATGTTGTGTTGTCTTCAGGTGATTAATTGTCAATGTATTTTTAGAAGTTACTATTTTAGAAAAATGCTGATTAAGGAATATTAATTTTAGCCATGGGTAAATGGGTAATTATGGTTGCAAACCATTTGAAATTTGAATTGAGATTATGACCAATAATGGAAGAAGGAGGGGGGTGTAAAAAGGATTTTTTTTTTTGGGGGGGGGGCATTTTTTTTCATTTCAGAAATATTAAGAAAATTTCTTCAAATATATTTTATTTGGGGTGGGGGTACTTTTTTTATTCTTTTTTTTTGGGGGGGGGGGGGGGCAATTTGCAACAGCATAGTGTATTGAACAAATTCAAAAATTGAATACAAAATTCTAAACAAATAACCAATTCTAAGTTCTATGAATACAGTTATTCTGTGTCAGAAACCTATTATGTGTCAAATTTTTAATTACAATCCAGATTCAGACCGGTATCAAGCGCGAATATTGCGTCCATTTTTGCCCCAAATATTCAGGGTTGGACCTCTGCGGTCGTATCCAGCTGCGCTCGGCGAAGCAATTTATTCAAATTTTGATTTGAAAAATATTTAGCCACCAAAAGTTCATTGAAAGTGTAAATATTATTTCAGGAAAAGAAAATTATTCTAATTAATGAATAGATGGCAATTAAGTCTGATTTTTTTCATACATGTTCACGATGCTATTTGTCAAACCATCGCTTTCATGTAGCCATTGTCTGAAAAACATGATAAAATGAGACATTAAAGTATGAAATTTATTTCTTCTTTCTTCCGTTTTTTTTTTGTTTTTTTTAGTACACAATGGCACATCCTTTTATAGATTTTGTATACATTGACTCGTAGCATTTGTCATTAATATGCCATCATTACATATAAGCATTCCAGCTCTTAAGGTAGCACAATACAAAAGTAACTAAATTTTATCAAAATTTCATTTTCAGCTGTTTTTGTTACTTCTTAATATTCCAAAACCACAGAAGAAAAATTTATTTATATATCTTGCACTGTTAATGAGATTTGATGATAATTAGTTTTATAAACAAATGCACGTGTCTGACTGATACAAGATAAGAACATGTGGGCAGTACTATGTGGTTAATCAATAGGATCATTTGATAGCTTTATGACCACTGACCAGCTATAAAAATGACAGTTATGAAAAAGAGGTGGATAAGGGATTTATGGAAAAATGAAGAAAGTGAATTCCAAATAAAAACACATTTCTGTATTGGAACTGCCAGGAGAAAAAACAAAACAATAATTTGGAGATATAGAGGGAATCAAAATATAAATATACAGATATTAAACAAATGTAATTGTACAACAATTAATGTTTCTGATGTGTAAACTAAAATTTCGTAAGGAGAATATTTAGATATGAATTCTTTTTAAAAGAAAATACAAATTAAATATTTCATTTTCAAACTGCAAAAATGAAAAATATCTACTTTGTGTAAAACACCATTTTGTCATTGTAAACAATTATAATTCTAGAAATCCCCCATAAAGATCCTCTAGACTGAACAACTGATCATTTTGTGTCCACATGCATAACCTATTTTTTGTAACAATGAAAAAAACTAAATATATTATTTTATGTACTAAATGAATAAAATCCATATTGAAAAAAGTAAATGCAATGCGTAATTAAACTTCTGAGATCATTCATAGTAAAGATTTATCATGGTGGGAGGAGTTTTGACCATATCAGTAGCATTCGACTTACAGCAAGGTCAATAATGATATAACATCTCCCGCCAGATCTGATTTCTGATGCATAGGGTGTTTGCATTTTCTTTGTATATTTATAATTGCTGAAATGGCATGCTTTCTTACTGGTCAAAACCTAATTGATTTATGATTAAAGGCCAATCCTGAAGTATCCCCATGGTACATGTGTAACTTATATTGAAGTTAATGGGGTAAAAGTAGGAAAATCCTTATTTATTAAATTGTGACACATTCATTTTTGTCATGAATGTAGTTTTAAATGAATTTAGCTCCTAGATGGGTGCCTATATGCCTGATTTTCACACAGTCATGTTGTTCCTTGACCAGTTATCTTCAAAAGGGTGTCTCAGATTTCCAAAAACATCAATAGAACAAATTTTATACCCAATTAAATTGAGTGATCTCTTATGAATTGAGGTTGCAAACGTCATTGAAGGTTTGTGAGAGGTTGAAATACAATAGGAAAAATCTGAGACACCCTTTTGGAAGACTAACTGTGTTATACAAGAATCTATAAAATATTTTGGGATGCTATGAATAACAAAGAAACTAATTTCATTCAAGTGTGGACATCACAATATAGCAACTAATTACATAATAATTAATTATGTAATTATTATGTCATAATGAAATTATCACCATTTGAAAGATTAATCTTTCTTCTTTCTTTTGGCACCTCATTTATAAAATTTAAAGCTGGATGAACGAAATTACATCAGTTTAAAGTTGTCTGATTGGGGGTGAACAAATCTTTGTATTCTGCTACCTTAAATATACAGCAGTATATATATATATAGTGAAAATTCTTACAAATTATATCAAAAAGTGTTATAATAGAAAAAAATGTTCTCCGTATCTGCCTGTTGTTATGTTGAATGGTTATATCACATGTCTGTCATACATCAAAGACCATCTATATTTATAAACTTAAAAAATCCTACTTGAGATACTTTGGTATGAGGTCGTATTAATTAGCAAATTGGATATTACTGTTAATAATTTATTCTTATTTAAACATGTCTGACAACAATTATATATGTTATCATGGGGAATCTTGTTCCTGTGTTAACTTATTTATATTGTTAAAATTGATCTCTATAAAATTTTACCATAAGGTTCAATACCACAAAAGGAAGGTTGGGATTGATTTTAGGGGTTATGGTACAAACAGTTAAGGAATTAGGGGCCAAAAATAAGCATTTTTGTAAGTTCCAGACATTATAGTATGTCTTTCTATGTTGTGATGTTACACTATTGTTTCATAAAAAGGGTGAAGGTTTGGTACCATTTAAACGTTTAAACCCGCTGCATTTGTTTGCACCTGTCCTAAGTCAGGAATCTGATGTTCAGTAGTTGTCGTTCGTTGATGTGGTTCATAAGTGTTTCTCGTTTCTCGTTTTTTGTCTCGCCTGCGACGAAAGTCGCAGAAAGTGAGACATAGGTATTACTATCCGGCGGCGGCGGGGGCGACGGCGGCGTAAACTATTTGTATAAAGCTTTATATTTCAGAAGGTAGAAGACCTGGATGCTTCATACTTTGTATGCAGATACCTTATGTTACGAACTTTCCGTCTGTCATATGTCCAATGTCCTTGACCTTATTTTCATGGTTCAGCGACTGCTTGAAAAAAAAGTTTAGTTTTTTTGTTATGTAAATTTCTCACTTATTATGAGTAATAGGATAACTATATTTGGTATATGGGTTCCTTGCAACGTCTACATGTCCATCAGACAGGGTTCACCTGACCTTAGCCTCATTTCATGGATCAGTGATCAAGGTTAAAGTTACGTGATTAGGTCCGTTTCTCAGATACTACAAGCAGTAGGTCAGCTATATGTGGTGTATGGAATGATTATAAGGGATACATGTCAGTCTGGCAGGTTTTAATCTGACCTTGACCTCATTTTCACGGTTCATTGGTCAATGTTAAGTTTTTGTGTTTTGGTCTGTTTTTCTAATACTATTAGCCATTGGTCAACTATATTTGGTGTATGGAATGATTGTAAGGTGTACATGTCTGTCTGGCAGGTGTCATTTGTCCTTGACCTATTTTCATGATTCATTGGTCAATGTTAAGTTTTTATACGACCGCAAAAAAATTTTTGTGGTCGTATATTGGTATGACGTTGACGTCGTCGTCGTCGTCGTCATTGTCGTCGTCGTCTGGCGTCGTCCGGCGTCGTCCGAAGACACATTGGTTTTTGCACTCTAACTTTAGTTTAAGTGAATGGATCTCTATGAAATTGTACCACAAGGTTCAATACCACAAAAGGAAGGTTGGGATTGATTTTGGGGGTTATGGTACCAACAGTAAAGGAATTAGGGGCCAAAAAGGGGCCAAAAATAAGCATTTTTGTAACTTCCAGACATAATTTGTGTGTAAATGTATGGATCTCTCTGACATTGTACCACAAG